CCAGTTGACAGATTATGTAACTGCCACACCCAATGAGACTAAATCATTTAAGGAAGTATGCAGGAGCCCGTTGTGTGATGCACTGAATGGGGTATGAGCCTGCAGCTGCTAATAGACACTTGAACACTACATGGGGTGTATCTGCCCAAGATAAAGTGATGAGTTTTTATTGCACCAAACAAGAATCGAACGCAACACGGTGTTCAGTAAACATCTAGTGCAGGAAGAGAACGCATTCCAAGAACAAAATGCGCATTCCACATTGGAAAGTAGACGAGTGCAGATGGAACTGGGTTAAAATTCAACACCTTCCCCATTTGTTCTCCCTTTCCGCCCATTTAATACTTGATCTAGTTTGTTACTTTCTGCTTTCTTGTGGATTGAGGTCTTTCTGTGTTTTAGTTTGGTGCTGTTTTTGTTTTGTTTTGTAATGTCTTTCTTCATATGAAATCCACGATAGGTAAATCTATAGAGACAGTAACTGGATTAATAAGTAAATTTCTTAGCATTACAACAGGGGAGGTTGGGGGGAAATGGGAAGCCCAAAAATGAAGAAAATGTTCTAAAATTGATCGTGATGCTGATTGCACAACTCTCTTTTTTTTTAAATCATTTTATTGGGGGCTCATACAACTCCTCACAATCTGTACATACATCATTTGTGTCCAGCACATTAGTACATATGTCGACTTCATCATTCTCACAACACCTGCTTTCCACTTGAGCCCTTGGTGTCAGCTCCTCACTTTTCCCCCTCCCTTCTCGCTCCCCCTCCCCCTGAGCCCTTGATAATTTATAAATTATTAGGATTTTATCATATCTTACACCACCCGGCATCTCCCCCACCCACCTCTCTGCTGTCCGTCCCCCAGGAGGAGGCCAAATGCAGACCTTATCATCCGTTCCCCCTTCTCCTGCACCCTCCCTCCACCCTGCCGATATCACCACTCTCTCCAGTGGTCCTGAGGGGTCCATCTGTCCTGGATTCCCTGTATTTCCGGTTCCCATCTGTGCCAGTGTACATCCTCCGGTCCAGTCGGACACGCAAGGTACAATTGGGATCATGATAGTGGGGGGAGGAAGTATTTAAGAGCCAGAGGAAAACTGTATATTTCATCATCACTACACTGCACTCTGACTGGCTCATCTCCTCC